TATAGGTTAAAAAAAAAATGCGGGGGAACCACTCAATCCCTAATCCTCCAAGTCTAGGTTATAACTTGCTACTTCCAGGGAACTCTGAAGTTAACTAAGTTAGTTTGCTAATCCTGATCCTTCCTACTATGAACACAGACCCCATCAAACAGCTAATTTCTAATAACCAGATGCTAATAACCCACTCTGCCCATCACTGTAAAGAAGGTATCATGCTTGCTATTTATATCTGATATGGGGAAAAGAGAAAAGAAAAGCAAAGTTGCTTGAGAAAATTACATGAGCACAACCGACCTTCTTGTTTTCTTTAAAGCAAACAAAGCAGGGCTATGATAATGACAACGGGGTAAAAAGTTTGAAAATTAGTCAATATCTACTGGTCATTTTTCAGCAGGGTACACTTAATGATTTTACGTATATTTCCAGTTATATTTTAAGTGACTTATTTCCAAGTGACCTTCTCCACCATCAACAGTATAAGATTTTACCTACCCTAAAGAAGGTTTCAAAAGAAAATCTGAGCTTATGTATCTTGATGGTGATCATTTCTTAATCCTTTTCTTCTCCTTCCTTTCAATAAACCAGACAAATATTATAATTCAGCATCTACAACATGCCAGGAGCATAAAGGTCACAAAGCTGTAGGCTATAGAAGAATAAACACTGGTCCCTGACTTTAGGAAGCATATAATCTGGTCATCACAGAGATAAGGACAAACCTAAAAGACTAACAATATAAAGCACTTACAGTATAAGAGCCAAACAAAGACATAAATAACAAACAGTATTTGCTAACTCTAGAAGAAGAAAAAAAATCATGGGCACAATTTAGATGGAAATTTCACAGATGAGGGAAAATCTGAGCTGGAATTTAGAGACAACAATCCAAACTCCTGCACAGTTTTCCCAGAACTAGGGACTCGATNGCAACACCGAGGTTTGCGATCCCGTTGCCGGTCCCGGTCCGGTATGGGCGCAACACTGAGGGTTGCGATCTGTTGCCGGTCACGAAAAAAGACAAAAAAAAGGAAGAAAAAATAAATAAATAAATAAATCTATGCATATAAAATTGATCAAAGAGAATTATCTTAGGCAGCCCTTGCTCATTAGAACCAAAAGATTATTTTTCTTTACCGAATGAAACATCAACTTTTTGAGGAAGTATCTGTAAAAGATTTTAGGGTTAAAAATTCTCTCTACACACACATAGGTAGAAAGTATTTATTGACAGGAAACTGTGGAGTGAGTACCAAATAAAGTATACAGTAGTCCAGTGTAAAGCCTGCAAGCATGGACTCTGGAGTCAAACTGCTAGGGCTGGATGCTGACTCTGTCTCTCACTAGCTGAGTGAATGAGTTTCTCTGTGCCTCAGTTTCCTTATGGGTAAAATGAAATCATAACTGTATGTACCTCAGAGCTTGTAGGACTAAATGACTTAATATTTATAAAGTGCTTAGAGCCGTGTCTAGCACATGGCAAGTACCATGTTAGTGTATGTTAAATAAACAAATCACTGATCACTGGAACATTAGAAAGCTTATCTCATAATAAAACCTTTAAATTCCAGCACCCAACAGTCAGTGGAGAATGGACATTCATTCACTGACTTCATTCTTCCACAGCATGTATTGATGACCCTT